ACTCTGTATATCGATCTACTAGAATCGCAGCTCAGTCGGTCGAAAGATTGCTATATATATATATATATATATATATATATATATATATATATATATATATATATATATATATATATATATATATATATATATATATAAGATTACAGCGTTCGGTGCGCTTTTTTTCGACATGCTTCAACTGGATATAAACGTGTACAGCAATGACGCTGGTTAATTATGCGCCCGGATCGATAGATCCGAGGCGTATATTGTTTTTGTCCTGTCTGTTTGTCTGTCTGTTGTCAACTTTAACCTTCACCATAACTTTTGAATCATGAGAGGTAGAGACTTCATATTTGGTATGCATACTCCACTAATTAGGCTCTTTCAAATGACACCAAACTCAATGACCTTGTGACCTTGACTGTGACCTTTATGCTAAAAATAGCTTTTTTGATCTTTCGCCATAACTTTTGAACCATGAAAAATAGAGACTTCATATTTGGTATGCATACTTGAACAATTAAGCTCTATCAAATGGCACCAAGATCAATGACCCTGTGACCTTGAAGGTGACCTATATGCTAAAAATGTCCTTTTCGAAGTTTCGCCATAACTTTTGAACCATGAGAGATAAAGACTTCATATTTAGTATTCATACTCCACTGATAAAGGTCTTTGAAATGACACCAAGGTCATGACCTTGTGACCTTGACTGTGATATATGCTAAAAATAGCGTTTTAGACTTTTCGCCATAACTTTTGAACCATGAGAGATAGAGACTTCACATTTGGTATGCATACTCCAGTAATTAAGTTCTTTGAAATGACACCAACGTCGATGACCTTGTGATCTTGACTGTGACTTATCTGCAAAAAATAGTTTTTTTGAATTTTTTTTACCGCCGGGCGCATAGTGTTTCACAAACACATCTTGTTGTATCATTATTTTGATAGATAATTTCAAAGTGTGCTCACCAGTTTACTGCTTATTGTTTAGTTTTTTCTGCATATATTGGTGAACTGTAAAATCATACTTAAGCAAATGTTACTATACTTTTCTTCCAACTCTGAATTTTTTTTTTATTTGTTTTTCAAATAATTATTATTCATTAATATCACCATGACTGTAATACATGTACAGTGTATATGTTATGTTCTTAAATGGTAAACTAACGTGTAAACGGTATATGAGGTATAGATTTCATATTTTGCACATACATAATGATAAATTTAGCTATAGGAATTTAAATAAAATATGATGGGATAAGGATATAGTTTATATTCAACAAGTCGTACACACCGCATCATCGATTCTCTCTACTTTGAGGAAGCCTGCAGACTTCATAACCCGTGGTTTGTGACGATGTACACATCGCAGTAGATGGAAAAAGTTGCGTTTTCTAAGTATCTGATAAGCTTTAAGACAGCAGAAACGACAGATTTCAGACTTAGTCAGGACCGTTGAGTAATGAGGGATCTTTTTCGTTCCAGCACTTATTGTGACACAGGACCATGGTTTTGTAACAGCTTATCTGAATATCCGATATAGGCCCTACATGTTTATGTACCCTTGTTGTATTCGATCCCACGATGTAACGATCAACGTGTTTTTGTGTGACTCTAAAGAATACGCTTTAAACACTGCGTACCGGGGATATCTATTACCATTTTAAATGTAACTTTTTTAAAGATATTTTCAAAACTGATAAAACATCAAAAAGCACGTTCTTTCATGATCAAGGCAACACGAGAAACAAACTTGAATTTTTAACAGGAATTTTAAACATATGCATTCGATTATTTATATCAAAATCATAAAATGGTCATGTTATTTTGAAGATAGATACATTAAAGGTACATGTAGCAGGATTCTAAAATTCTAAAAAAAAAAAAAAAAATAATAATAAATAAATTGGAAATTTTCTCGAAAACATATATCCATAATTTAAAGTAGTCTATAGAATCTTATATCCGATTAATTTTTTTTTCTAGATAGAACTAAAAAGAACAATTTCAAAACAATACGAGAATATAAATATTTTCCTTGACTTCATAACAACAATCTTTATTTAACATTTCTGCATGTAGTTTACTAGCTATACTAAAACTACTAGATAAAGGGAATATGCGCCTACTGCTGCAATTATTCCAAGAATGTAGGATGACAGAGATGAATCTTCGTCGTGAAAAGCCTGAATTTTTTCTGTAGAGTATGTTTTCAGTATCACTTTTCTTGCTTCGTCTCTTGGATTCACATAAACACCATTTTGAAAGTACTTTTGCTTCTGAAATTCTTTCAGTATATTATTAAATACTATCTCCGTTTTCTCGCTATATTTTGTTTTGTAGAAAGGTATTTTGTTATCCATACTTTTGATAATATTGAGGAGCTTTTTAACGTCATCACGCTGTTCCCATAGACGTTTTTTGTTGTAATCCATAATTAAATAACGATTATTGGCCTTTTCGATTAATTCTTTTAAATTGCTTCCAGGTTCGAGTTCCCTTACCCAATCGTCAATCGAAATGTCTTCTTTCTCAAGTCGATCTTTGTTTGTAAAAAGTACAACAGCATACTTTTCAAATTCTTCACCAAATACTGTTCTGTAGCATGATATAGTTTCTTGGTCTTCAGGGGTGAATCTTCCGGGCTCCATAACTAGTATGAATGCGTGTGGGCCAGGAGATGTGATCATTAAAGATTTAGTAACTTCAGAAGTTATTTCGCGTTCCCTTTGTTTCGCATTGCTTACATTATTGAATTCATTTAAACCAGGTGTATCAACTACAACTAAGTATCTGTCAAAGCGGAATTTACTTCTGAATGAAGTGACTTTAGTTGTAGATCGTGGTCCAGTTTTGGAGGGAAATGCTGCCTCCTCAAGTATCGAATTTCCGGTAGAACTTTTTCCAACTCCTGTTTTCCCAATTAATATGAGTCGCAGCTCGTTTTTATCTGCATTGAGAAATTATATATAAATGATTTATCAAAGAGATGCACTGAAATTTTGTTTATCTTTATAATTAATAGAGTGATGCAGTATCTTTATCAATACTTTATGTAATGAAGATAAATGCTTTAAATGATGGACTTGAGCTGCTAATCTCAATCTAATTTGTGCTCTTGAAGTGTGGAAGTATGTCAGAGGAAGGGAAAACAAGTTCACTTATAATCGAATCATACAATGAGCACATTAAGCTAGCTGAAAAAGAGCCAAGACTGCTCTATGAACTTCAATGTCGAAAAAAGGTATAGTTTTGCATCGCAAGTGAGGAATAAGGGCGTCTCAATATGAAGAAAGACAAACACAATGAGTGCACAATGGGTAACAACGTCATTTATTAAATTTTCAGGAATTTTGATGCTCTCTGATTGACCAAGACGCATTAATATTTTTCTGACTGGTTTCACTTTAAAATTAAATTTCGGAAAGTTGATTAGGGTCTCTCATCTTGATATATCATATATTTAATCTCGATGTATTTTCGATCCATCAATTTGCATGTTTTAAAGCATCCGAGGCTCTGAATGTATACATGACGGGCGCAAGTACCAAAGGAAGTAAGCACTTTAAATAAAAAAAATTGGTTGAGGATTGTTTGGTACCCCCCCCCACCCCCTATTTTTACAAGTTATTAAGATGTTAATATATAATTATAAACACGATGTGTTTTTTTTACTTTGCATTTCATGAAGAGTAATTGAACTGTTTAGAAAGAAAAACATAAATGTAAAAAAAAAATATTGAAAAATTCTTTAGCATTTTATAACATATTTTAATTTTTTTCATAGATTGATTAATTGTATGGTGTTTAAGGAACCTCTTGAAAATTCAAATCGAGCCGTTACCACTTGCCGTTGGAGAGCTACAAATTGTGTCCTATACTCGGCCATTGAGCAATGAGTGATCTTTTTACGTGTCGGCATCTACTGCGACACGGTTCCCTGGTTTATTTGGTCTCATCCGAAAACCGTCTCCATGTCCAACAGTGGGAATCGAAACCACGACTCAAAGATCGACTTCTAACTTCGCGACTCTAGAGCAGACGCTCTAACCGCTGATCCTGGCGGGCGACTTCTCAACTTTTGAATTCGGTCTTCTTTCATAAAAACGTACCTGGGCAGCTATATCATTGTTTAAAAATGTATATGTATCTTTGATCTCCGGCCTGGTTTAACCAATAACAAGCCAGTAAACATCATGAAATGCTACTGATTGTACAGTGTATTAATGACAAATGAATAATCTAATGCGTATAGAAAATCATAGAATTATATATAATTATATTTCTTTAAACTTCCAAAAAATGATATATATTTGTTCAAAACTCTAATCTGCACAATGATCTCGAATTTGATGAATTTTAACATCATTATTCTATCAACCGATAAGAGATTTGTGTGGAGTTTAAACTAGAGCATGCTCATTACCTTTATCACATTAGCAAATATCATGCTTCTGTCATTGTAGATAATGAAGATCTAAAAAACTGTTATTCAACGATACTTTATTCTAAAGTATTTTCTTATATTATATTTTTTGTGATGCTTTGTACTTTTTCAACAACATTGTTGGAAAATTCATGCGCTGCTCACTAAGCTAGGGTCTCCAAACATATGTTCAAATCATTCTTTATCATTCATAAATGATGGTGAAATACTAGTAGGACCATAACTAAAAATCTTTGAGTCTGTACAAACAATTGCAAACACAAACTACGCTTGTTTGTTTTGTTGTTTTGGTTTTCTCCGAAACCCGATAAAACAGTTACAAATACACAACAGTAAAAATATTATGAGTATAATGCCAAACAATGTAATCAAGTGCTGTACAAAGAATTCTACGTTCGCAAGCTTCAATTCGATATTTGTGAGCTTCCTTTCAATACCAGGGACTTGGTTATCTTCTTTTTTTATTACTGGCTGCTCCTTTGCACAAATCGAAAAACATAAACATATTGGTAAGGTTGGAAGAGTGTCAATCCATTTAAGAATTTTGCTTGCGATTTTTTCTGTGTTTTCTCTGTTAATTTCAGAATAATATTTAAGTCCCACATATCGGTGATTTATTCTCGCAAGAAGTTGATGTAGTGATGAACTCTCAGGATAGCTTTCCAAATTTCCCTCAATAGTTTCGTCATTTTTTTCTAAAGCAGCAATATTTGAGAATATAATGATAAGGTGCTCATATGCATCTTTAGGTAGTACGTCGTTAAGGAAGGTAACAATTTTTTCATTAGTCTCAAACTCTTGTATTCTTAAAACTAAAATAATTGCTCTGTAGCGCAATGAGCAGTGCGATGTTAGTTTTCTTAGAATGTTCTCGTTAAAGATTCTGTTTGAAGCATCAAATCCAGGGGTATCAACAACAGACACTTTTCTATTAAACCGGGTAGCGCTTTCAGTGGCTGGCTCTTTTGTTACTCGATCACTCATTGTATTTGCATCAAACGCTTTTCTCCCCAGTATTATGTTTCCAGTTGTGCTTTTTCCAGCTCCAATCCCACCAATGATGATGAACCGTTCTTCGTCTATTTGAATACAAGAAGACAATGATGCGAAATCTGTTTTATATTGTTATACTTCTAATACGGAATTTATTGATTTTACCCTTCCCAAGCAAAAGAAATTCACTTTTTATAAGATTACAAACTTCTCCTCCAATTCGAGGTTGAACTGTCGAGCTACGAAATCCGTCCCTTAGCAGTACCGAAAGTAAATTGCTTTTGATGTCGATGAAATTCTCACGGTGCTTTCATACAACAAAAGGATGCTGTGAATGGTAGTGTGATACATTTATTTGGACATTAGTTTTATTAATGGATCGTTTATGTTACACATTATAACTGTAATTTATGATAATATACTTTCACGTAAATTAGTTGAATCTGATTGATTCAGAAGCATTTGTTAAAAAAACACTATTACCCGCTGAACAATGAAGCCACGCCCTCAAGCGTAGCAACAGTCAACATTTCAAAAAAAAACGACTGCGCAGAATTTATGCGCGCACGGTTCACCGTTACATGTATTTGTTTAAAACACTCAGTATAATATAATAAACATTGCATGTAGTTGAGTGTAACATTGAAACTTTTCACCCCTCGAAAACCATTGTCAACCTCCACTGCGCCTCGGTTTACAACGAATGACAATGGTTTTCTTGGGGTGAAAATTTTCAATGTTACACTCAACTAAATGCAATATTTAATTTTATATTATTTTTATATATCTTTCTTTATTTGAATCATTTTATTACAACTCTTACACTAACTCATATGCATAAATTCTCTTTTCATGAAAAAAACTCAAAGAGGAATTCCTTTCCGCTTTCTTTATTAATATTTTTCCACTTAGGGCAGTTATTAATTGCTTTAAAATAAGATTCACAATATTAAATTAATTTAACGTTTATCAGTATAGATCCTCTAATCCTAGTGAACCTAATATCCAAATAAATGTAAAATAATTTATTTCTCAATCACCGTGTTACGCAGGACAGCACCAAGAGATTTCCTTCTAAACCAAAAGCAAGTTTCATTGCTTGTTTTGAGGGGCTGAAGTGTCTGGCACGTTTTTTTTCCTGGACTGCTTGGAGACAGATTCCCTAAGTCGGGAGTTCAACCAGGGGCTTGGGCGTAAGTTGGTATCTTTATAAATTTTGATTTCTTTGTGCTTTCTCCTCTAATTATACTTTTCTCTTCTTTTTATATTTCTTCACTTAAGGCAGTTAGTTTAAAAGTATTGTAAAAAGTAAAAACTAGCTTATTTAAACATTATTTATTTTTATTGTCTACGGACGTCCAAATAAATTTAAAATTTAGATACCTAAGGTAGAGAACAGCAATTCAAACATTGCAACTTACATTTTCCATATATTTCTTTTTAAGTTTTCCAATGTATTTTCCAATGGCAATTAATGGCACATTCCAATGGCCGAACGAAGATAATGTATTGATTTTTAGTTTAATATATAAAAAGTCGTCGCCATAAATTCATACACACTCTCTGTAAATCATTTTTTTTTCAAACAACTATATTTCAGAACACCATTTAGACTTTGCAGTTTAATTTTGCCACCAAATTCCCTATGGCCTGAAATACCTAGGTTGATTTTATGACAAAACGCAAGAGATATCCAAGAGCTGTCTAGAAGAACGCAAACATTTTACTTTTCTTTGTTTCACTTATACTATAAAGTTCGACTTTGGCTTGCACCATCAGAAACATTGTATTTTTAATGTGAAAAGCATTATGAATGACATATCACTAAAAAATATATATTTCTCTCAGTTACACGAATCGTAAAAAAAACTAGATACGATCTCGTTGCGAGCAACGAGTGGGTTTTCCGTCCGATATTTGATGAGGTGAGAAAAGAGTTTGATTGAGATTTTCATTCTAAAATAATAATTTTCCATAAACTGTAAAAATGCAATGAAAATTAACGACTTAAAAAATCGGATTTTGGCCCTTCAGGGCCCCTAATATTAGGGATCAGCCCTTTTTTCATATCATCTTAACACTCTCAGGATTTTCATCACTTTTTGTTCAACAACTATTAAGAGATTCTTTTTCGAGTTATTTGCATAAGAAATATTAAGGGGCCAGCCCTTCAACTCCTTAGTAGGGACGTTAAGCGAAAAATGAAAGGTTGCAGATTGTTCAGAACATGATTTTGAACATCTTTTGTTCAAAATTACTTATCAAAATATTTGCCACTTTTGAGATATAAAGCGTTAAAGTTTTGGCATTCTGGCCCCTTTTGGCCCCTAATTATGTATCATATGACATGAAAATCTTAATATATAGTTTCAAATTGTTGCGATTAACATTTTTACTTCAGTAACTTGTAACAAAATACTGACTGATAAAGAGTTATCGATTGAAGAGTTTTGGCCCCTAATTTGAGTGCCCGGCCTCTTTTTCTGGATGTTATCTTTTGGCCCTTATCATTTTGAACACTTTTTGTTCAACATCTATTCAGAGATTCTTTTTCGTTTTCGTGCAATTTGCAAAAGAAATATTTAGGGGCCAGCCCTTCAACTCCTTAATAGGGACGTTAAATGAAAAATGAAAGGTTGCATATTATTCAGAACATGATTTTAAACATCGTTTGTTCAATATTAATTATTAAAATATTTCCCAATTTTGAGATATAAAGCATCAAATATTTGGCATTCTGGCACCTTGTGGCCCCTAATTATGTACCACACGACATAAAGATTATAATATATAGTTGTAGATTGTCGAGATAAACATCTTACTTCAGTAATATATTACAAAATATTTACTGATAAAGAGTTATTGATTGAAGACTTTTGGCCCCTCTTGGCCCCTAATTTGAGTGCCCAGCCCCTTGTTCTTAGTTTCACCTTAAAGCTCTTTGAATTTTGAAGACTTTTTGTTCAACAACTTTTCAGAGAATCTCTTTCGTTTTAGAGTTATTTGCAAAAGAAATATTTAAGGGCCAACCCTTCAACTCCTTAATGGGTACGTTTAGCGAAAAATGAAACATTGCATATTGTTTAGAACATTATTTTGAACATTTTTTTTCAATATTACTTATCAAAATATTTCCCACTTTCGAGATATAAAGCGTCAAAGATTTAGCATTCTGGCACCTAATGGCCCCTAATTATGTACTATACGACATAAAAATGATAATATATAGTTGTAGATCGTCGAGATAAACATCTTTGCTTCAGTAATGTATTACAAAATGTTACCTAATAAAGAGTTACAGATTGAAGACTTTTAGTCCCTCTTGGCCCCTAATTTGAGTGCCCAGCCCCTAGTTCTTGATTTCACCTTAAAACTCTTAGGATTTAGAACACTTTTTGTTCAACAACTATTCAGAGATTCTGTTTCGTTTTATAGTTATTTGCAAAAGAAATATTTAATGGTCAACCCTTCAACTCCCTAATGGGGACGATTAGCGAAAAATAAAAGGTTGCATATTGTTCAGAATATCTTTTTAACATCTTTTGTTCAATATTGCTTATCAAAATATTTCTCACTTTCGAGATACAAAGCGTCAAAAATTTGGCATTCTGGCCCCTTGTGGCCCCTAATTATGTACCATACGACATAAAAATCATTATTTGTAGTTGTAAATTGTGGAGAGAAACATTTTTGCTTTAGTAATGTATAACAAAATATTGACTGTTAAAGAGTTATCGAAAAAAGAATTTTGGCCCCTTTTTGCCCCTAATGTGATGAGTCAGCACTTTTTTCTTGATATCATATTAAAGATCTTGTCATTCTGCACGAATATCGCTCAGAATGTTTAAACAAAATATTTATACTTTGAAAGATATGATACAAAATGTCTCGAAAATTCACTCATGATTCGTGTCCTAGATTTCCACCCCTACCGAGCTTCCATATTCGGCACTTCCGGAAAATATCCTGACCCAGGTGCACAATGGCAACATGTCCTCTATCTTTGGTAAACATTTCAGCGTTCTAGCTTAAACCGTTCTTGAGTTCTGCTGCAGACAAGGAGGTCCTCTAAATTTCGATTAAAGGGCGGTAACTTCCGACCGAAAGTAAATTTTAAAAAAATTAGAAAAACGAATCAGGTTTAGGTGAAGACACATCTTTCCTGAAAATTTCAAGTTAATCGATCGAGTCATCTCCGAGAAATCTTCTGCACAAAAATTGTAAGAAAAAAAGGAAGAATAACTAAATACGATCTCGTTGCAAGCAACGAGTGGGTCTTCCGTCCGACTCTTGATGATATGAGATAAGATTTTGATTGAGATTTCCATTCTAAAATAATGATTTTCCAAAATCTGTAAAAAGACATTGAACAACAGACTTAAGAAATCGACTTTTGGACCCTCACGGTCCCTAATATTAAGGATCAGCCCTTTTTACTCCATTTCATCTTAAAGTTTTAAGAATTTTAATCACTTTTTTTTCAACAGCTATTCAGAGATTCTTTTCCGTTTTCGAGTTATTTGCATTAGATATATTTAGGGGCCAACCCTTCAACTCCTTAATGGGAACATTTAGCGAAAATGTGAAAGGTTGCATATTGTTTAGGACATTATTTAGAACATATTTTTTTCAATATTACTTATCAAAATATTTCTCAATTTTGAGATATAAAGCGTCAAAGATTTAGCACTCCTGCCCCTTTTGGCCCCTAATTATGAACCATACGACATTAAAATCATAATAATAGTTGTAGATTGTTGAGATAAACATTTTTGCTTCAGTAATGTATAACAAAATATTGTCTACTAAAGAGATATCGAATCAAGACTTTTGGCCCCTCTCAGCCCCTAATGTGAGTACCCAGCCCCTTTTTCTGAATTTCTCCTACAATCTCTAATGATTTTGAAGACTTTTTGTTCAACAACTATTCAGAGATTCTTTTTCGTTTTCGATTTTTTTGCAAAAGAAATATTTAGGGGCCAACCCTTCTACTCCCTAATGGGGACGTTTAGCGAAAAATAAAAGGTTGCATATTGTTCAGAACATTATTTTGAACATTTTTTGTTCAATATTACTTATCAAAATATTTCTCACTTTTGAGATATAAACCGTTAAAGATTTAGTATTCTGGCTCTTTTTGGCCCCTAATTATGTGACACACGACATAAAAATCATGAAATATAGTTGAAGATGTTTGAAATAAACATCTTTGCTTCAGTAATGTATTACAAAATATCAACAGATAAAGAGTTAGAGATTAAAGACTTTTGACCCCTCTTGGCCCCTAATTTGAGTCTCCAGCCCCTTTTTCTTGATTTCACCTTAAAGCTCTTAGGATTTTAAACACTTTTTGTTCAACAACTATTCAGAGATTCTTTTTCTTTATCGAGTTATTA